TGTAATTTCTCTTCTTGTTTATTTTGTTGTTCAAGCTGCCACTGTTGCATGTTTTCTTGCAACTGCTGTTGTCTCTCTTCTTACTAGATATGTGTTAGTCTGGTATATATAAGATGGTCACAATGTTACGGGACAACAGAGGTAATGAGTAATTGAATGTATGCGGACAAAATATTGTTGGCCACGTGAGACAATGCGTTGTTATAGAGTGAATGTTGAAATTAAGTGTATCGTAAAGTTATATTCAGAACTAATAAACCAGTTGTATTTAAGAAAGGACTTGTGTCGCTAAAGTTTCGTCGGAACGAATTTACGGAAAATTAACTAACGACTGGAGGCGTAACAAATTGGTGTCAGAGAGTGGAACAAAAACAAAAATGGAAACGAGAGGCGGAAAATCAAACTACAGCTTAGCAGACTTGATGGCGGCAATACAAGAACAAGAAAAGAAACAAGAAATGCCCTCTTGTCAACCAAGTCTTTCAAATGGTATGCAGATGATTTTGAAAGAATGGAATAAGTGAATCATTGCTGACACCCACCATCAGGAATTTCTTAAATTCATATTGATGAATCTCAGGATCAATATTTTTGGAGAAAAAAAAGGAATAAAATGGAATTTCAAGGACACGTGGTAAAATCACACCCTAGATAACCCAAACTTTTTAGTAAATTGGAACCAAAATGGAACATAAAACATTATAGAAGTTATTATTCTGATAATGCATAAACTTTTTCATGCTTTCAGAAAATCAACAATAAATGTAGCACTTTTAAATTTTCCTTGATGTCATCACTTATGGCTACTAATTTGTGCCTTCTTTAGTAAAATCTAAGTGTCCATTGAAATTGTAAATAGTATCAATCTGTATAAAAGCAAATAAATTTAATCAAGTAAGAACATTTGAAATTTTACAGTAAATATCCGTAAGTATGAAAAAGGCTTAGCTTACTTCTAAATGGCATCGATCAACATCAGGAGGGAGACGATAGTTTGATGTTATCAGCAAATGATAGGGATAAAGCTGAAAAGACAGTTAGAAAGTCATATCAACAAGTGATATTAAATTTCCTTGCTTCGATGTTATGGTTGTGAGAGATTAAGCAATAACCATTTCTTAATTTTGTTTTTAATGATTGAGTGGTGTCAATATTAAAAAAAACTGAGAAGTAATTACATTATGGAATAAAATAGTACACTTAAGGTAAATGCATTATCTAGCTCTCATATCAAACCTATTTACTGACTATATTAAATCTTAAAGAAACTTCTGTGTTATGGAAATTGACTAATTGTTATGGAAATTCCTACTGAAAGAGTACATCTGTTATATCCCACCATACAACTCAAGTAAATACCTATAATGCTCCAATAACACAATATTTTAGACCCCTTTAGGTCTCACATATTTGGTACACCTATCATCGAAATAAATCACCACTTACACAATATGTTGCATCTCATTTACATTAGTATCTCTTACACTCTCCTATGGTCAAATACTTTATACATCCTAGAGGATTAATACATTGTACATACACATCCTACACAGTAAGTACATTACACATGTACATTCCACAGGTTTAACACATCACAAATACACATCCTAAAGGTTGATTACATTATACATGCAAATCCAAAGTTTGATTGTACTATACATGCACATTCTAGAGGGTGAATAATTTTCACATGAACATCCCAATAGATGAGTACATTGCACATAAATATCCTAATGGATCAGTACATTATTACACATAAATATCCTAATGGATAAGTACATTGTTACACATAAATATCCTAATGGATAAGTACATTATTACACATAAATATCCTAATGGATAAGTACATTATTACACATAAATATCCTAATGAATCAGTACATTATTACACATAAATATCCTAATAGATAAGTACATTATTACACATAAATATCCTAATGGATAAGTACATTACACATAAATATCTAATAGATAAGTATGTTATTACACATAAATATCCTAATGGATAAGTACATTATTACACATAAATATCCCAATGGATAAGTAAATTATTACATATAAATATCCCAATGGATAAGTACATTATTACACATAAATATCCTAATGGATAAGTAATTATCATACATAAATATCCTAATGGATAAGTAATTATCATACATAAATATCCTAATGGATAAGTAATTATCATACATAAATATCCTAATGGATAAGTACATTATACACATAAATATCCTAATGGATTAGTACATTACACATAAATATCCTAATGATTAGTACATTACACATAAATATCCTAATGGATCATATATATACATA